GAGAAGGAGAAGGGTTTTGGGTGTGTGATGGCAAAATCTCTCCACACAAAAAAGAAGGAGTAAACCCCCCTGCTCCAGGAAGACCACGTACAGATGGGACATTCACATGAGAGGCACCTGAGAAGGGGTCATAAACCATCAAAGACCCCCAAAGCACCCCCTCAGACTCATTCCTGAAGTCTTTCACCACCAGAGGACTTCATGTGACCCAGCGATGCAACAAATCCAGAGTCTGTTGCAAGAGACTGTAAAACTTCCCCCCCAAGGGAGGTGCCTGGGCATCTCCTGAATGTATATTAATCCATTGGACTCTATGTTTTGCGGGACCCTCACCACTGAGAAGACCAGAAGAACTGGACCCACGGGATGCTGCTAGGTTCCACAGAGTCGAGATACATTTTCTATTTAATCTCTCTCTGTCACTCTCTTTTTTCCCCACCCTTCTTTTTCCTCTCTCTGTCTCACATTTACTGTTAAATAAAATCTGTACTATTGACTTTGGCATCTGGTCTCATTTGCACCTTAATTCATGTAGAGGCGTCTCTAATAATTTTAGCAACCAGATCATGACAACTTGTTCAGTTAAACACTTTGGAGTCTCCTCCCTGGAGTCATAAATGTATCTGTTTGCTTGATGGTCATCTACCACCATTACAGATGTCTGGGATTTCTGCTTTGAGAAGGGAATTTGCACATCAGGACAGTGCATTGAAATCATCCATTACAAGAACTACTAATGGAATTATTTCCCACATCACCAGCCTGTTGCATGTTCTCAATCTTCTCAGTGAGACGGATATATATCCCCTCTACTTCTGGGGGAAAATACTCAGATCTAATCTTCCATGAACTCTGCCTTCATTTCTTCCATGAGAAACGATGGAAAGAGATTCCTTTGAAGGTGATTTTTGTGTTCAAGGGATTTGCAACTTTATGTTGAGTTTTTCCCAACTAACACATTCTTTGTACAGCCAGACATCTGCTTCTGCCATTACTGGTACTTGTAGGGATAAGTGGAAACACTCTAATTTAAATAATTTCATGTAGTTAATGTATATTGGTGTCCTTTTTCTTTTTTTTCATTTATGGTGAGATCCATCATAGACAGGTCTATGTGACTTCATCTCTACTAGAAAATAAAACACAGCCATAGCACACATTCAGCATTGACCCACAGTTGTCTATACTGTGTGTGAGTGTGGTCCCTGCTGATGTTTTGACTTGTGCCAAATTGTCTATACTGGGTGTTAGTTTACTCTCTGTCTTGGTTTTGGACAATTTCAGGTACAACCCTCTCAAACAATGCCTCAGACCAAATCAGGAGATAGCATGTGTCATGTAGTGTCCCAGTGAGGCAGTATGGATGGTAGTAATAATGTTTTCAAGGAAAGAAAATTTATTTGTGTGAACAGGAGTTTTACTGTGTTCTTTGCTGGAGAAAATCCTCCAGCCTGCTTTATTTTAGCATTAGGCATGGCTTGCAAGACTGGAGTTGTAAAACAAATAGTCTGTTCTTTGACTCGAAGAAGAGGTGAAAAATTTCTTTCTGAATTCTGAATTGCCAGATAGGAAGAAAGAAAGCAAAGAAAGGTCCTGAGAAGAGAATGTGGGACTACAATAGGATAAATTAGAGGGAACAGAGAGAAGAGATCAAATAAAAGTGAATAATTATTGTTTAGCAAATTTCCCTGTAAAACCTGAAGTTGAATTCAGTACTGTCCTGCTTTCAGCAGGTATCTAATGCTGAATCTCCTCTAAATCACCCAAAGTTTTTTTTTTGTAGTGAGCATCCTATTCTGAATTTTAAGGGTCCCAATGAAGGATTAAGTGGAAATAGGCTATAATGAGCCATGTGAATTTGTGGGTTTTCCCCAACAAATGGTTTTTAATTTCCTTCTTTAAAATAAAATTTCAAATTCAAAGACTAGAAAGCCAGGAATATACAGGCTATTATCTCCTAACTCTTGGCTTTGTGTTGTCTTCTGTGTTGGAAGATACTCAGGGAATGAGTTCAGGGGTTACAGGAAGAAAAATATAACCAGTATCTAGTGGTGAATGATACTTCCCCTGAAACAGGTGCAATATAGTCTTAGATGTGTCATGTACATAAACTAACACCAAATTAACACATCAGGCATTAGGTGCATCTCATCTTCTGCAGTAAAATTACAATGTGTTAAAATGCTGAACATTTACAGCTGAGGCTGAAACTGGTCAAGAAGGTACTTTGAGTAGATAAAGTTCATATAAATGCTTTTAAAAATGCATGTTTAGGCATTTCAAATCACTAAAACAGAATTAATCACCCCCAAATCTTTGTGTGCTTCCATTCTTCCTCTGTAGAACGAGGATACTTGTGTTGGGCTGTGAAACTAATTTCATTTATGTGGATGTCCCTACATATTGTACTGCTTACTAGCATTAAAAATTTCCTAAGCATTTTAGTAACACTGCATTTAGAACTAAACTAAATTTGCATTCATGAGATAACACAGTCCTACTCTAAATAAAGATTATTTAAATATAAGTAAATAAAAATAGAAGTATCTGTGTACTCTAAGGTCTCAAGGCCTTACGGTGTACAATCCTATTACATTAAAATATGCATTACAGCTACATTACTATTAAAAGCAAGTTTTTTTAAAAAATGCAGTTATGGTGTGTCATACTGCAAAAGTTTAAAATCTTGTCTTGTGTTTATAGCCTTAATGTGTCTGTTTTCCTCTTCAGGTCACTGGCATTTTTTACTGTACCTGTCTGTAAGATTTGATCATCTGCCAAGAAACATACCTTAAAACTGTGCTTGATCATCTCTGAAAAGTTCTCAAATAAAGCTAAATATATTTGACTCCTGGCGTCTATTACAGTACTACACAAATCTCTCAAGCTGTTTGACATTCCTGTAGCTCTACCTGCTGGCTCTCCGATTTCTTTGCGTCATCAAAATTATTATCAGAGCTAACTGTTTTATTTGAAGATGTGCATCACTGCCAGATACTGAAATAATTTATAGTCTCTGTGTGCATTTTAATAGTGTCCTGATGATGTAGAATTACACTAGTTATTTTTTCAGTGACTTTGTGCAGGAAGGTGGGTTTTTCTCTTACTCAGCATGGGCTTTTTGCAAGACCACATTTTGCCAGATAGAGTGCTTTTCTCTATTTGTTTGAGCTTATTACCAGGATGACCTTAAATGACCTTGACCTTGAACTGCTTTATGCTTAGAACCTATCCAGTTCATAATTACCTTATCACAAATGTTGTCCTTTACAAATATATATACTTTTTTTAGATCACCTTTTTTTTTTTTTTAAATAATAATCCAGGTATTGTCACTATCCTACAAGAAGCATTTCCACTAAGTAGTAGATTTATCTCAATTAAATTTTGATTTGGAATCTTCTCTCTGGCCAGTTTACACGTGCTTAAAATACACCGTATTATTTTGAATAGTTTTATTTTTTTAATCAAGTTTTTGTGGGGCATCAGATCACTTCCTTATAAGAGTTATTACAGCAGTCAACTCTGTCATCAAGATTGGAAATTTCAGAGCAAGTATTCATGTCATTTGAAAGGTATTTTCCATACCACTTTTCCCCTTTAAAATTATTTCTCTTTAGATCCCTATGGATTGGTCTTACTGCTATTCCATAATGGAATGCATGGTTCATTGCCAGATTTATGCTCATCTGCCCTCAAAGCATTGTAATATAATGAAGATCAAAAGTTTTGATGCAGTTCCAAATGAAGAAAAGAACCTATAAAACAATTTGAATTAGATTTTAATGAAACTGAATTATATAATCTGAAATTATGTCAGGTACCTTTTGTCAGGTATCGTGTCAAAATGCAATAGTTTTCCACTTTTTTTTCCATTTTTAGCACAGACTAGTGTAGTACAGTGTTCATGGGAAGAGAAGCAATTTTGAAAATGTATGAAACTACTCCTAACTCTTTTTACTATATAGATTACTTTTACCCCCCTAAAATGAAACTGAAATTTATGATTTATTGTGTTTCACTTTCCCCTGAGTCAATATGAACATATGTCTAGCAAGGTAAATGTTACAAAAAAAAAAAAAGAAAAGAGCTACATATATTAAAATAACTTGTTAATATATGATTATGGTCTTGACTGCTGAAATAAATATTTACATTTATCTGAATCAGTGAAATCATAAAGTATCCAATCAGAGAGTATACATATGGGAGTATTTATGTATAATTTCTGATTTAAAGAAAAATAAAAAAATATATTTTATCTTATGTGTTCAGAAATTACTAGAAAGATGATATTCTATCCAGTACTGTTCAGCATGTTCCAGAAAAAGTTCCCTTCAAGTGTATAATTATTGTCAACAGATGAAGTGCTATTATTATATTGTCAGGCACCATGAGTTACACATTATTGAAATCTCAAATTAAGCATACTGTTAAACATATGATAGGTTTCTCTAGAAAAATATTGATAAATGTTTATCTTCTTTGTGCAGTTAAATATGAAATGCAAAAAATCAGCTATTTGAAGCAGACTATCACTAAAAGTTTTTCAGCATATGCTGCAAAAGAAAAAAAAAAGGTAGAAATCTGGAGATATAGATTAGAAAACATTGGCATTTTTGATCAAAAAATTAGAACACATGCATACATGATAGCTATGAAAATGCATATCTCAGAGCTCTTCGTGTAGTTTTCCAATGTCAAAACAAAGCAAAAGTATGTAAAAATTTCTGTTCAGGCAGGATATCACGTCAGGGACATAAAAACTTACTAAAAGTCTGCATATGCAACTCACAAGTTCTGCTCTCTGTAGTAAGGAATTAAGTGATGCCTACGAATCAGTGTTGAATGATACTTCAGAACTGAACTTGATCATTCAGAGTCTAGGCTACCTTTGAGAATTAATTTTTGAAAAGTAAATGAGGACCTAGGAACATCTTCTATGATCATTCAGATATTGTATTTTCACCTAAATTTATTTTTTCTACAATTTTTTAAAGCACAGAACTGTTACACTTCGTAGACAACCAGTTGGTGGCTTGGGCTTAAGCATAAAGGTATGGGTAACTTCTCGTTTCTTCTTTTAATTTCAGTATGACCACTTCAGTCTCGAGATCTCATGGTTAATATGCCTCTCTTACAGGGTGGTGCTGAGCACAAAGTGCCTGTCGTCATATCAAAAATATTTAAAGACCAAGCAGGTAACTCGTTATTTACTTATATAGTACCATAGTAAGTAATAGTTTCAGGAATCATTTTTTACTGCAGAAACAAAACTATGACACAGAAATCTACTGATGTTCTTAACTTTAATATTGCAGAGGATTCAAAAAATACAAACCAAATATATATTTTCCCCACACAATAATTCACTGCTATATGGTATGACTAACTTGCCTAGATGCTAGCAGAGAGTGATTTTTAATGTTTATTGTGATGAAGATAGCACAAGATCTAAATCACTATAGTCTGTCCTAATTAAGTATTACATTGACATTTATCTAGCAAAAGGAACCTTTGGGAGACCATGTCATTCCTCAGGCTTAACTTGGCAAGTTGGAGAACTGGTCTGGAAAATAAAGAGGTTCTTCAGTAAGGTGGGCAGAATCTTGGAACATGAACTGAGGTTCTTAGCTGATGAAATTAAAGTCTCTTCTCTGGTGGACACAGATATGGGGATTAGTTTGTTCTTTTATTTTCTGAGGCATTCTTTTACATATTTGAAAATTAGTTGTCTTTATGTGGAAAGCTTCTGTGTGTTTCCTCTCTTCCATAGAATAAATCTACCAATTTCATATAGCCTTTCCTTCAAAAAAAGACAGTGCTGCACTGTGAAGCTCAGTGCATGTCCTGCTCGGTAGAGGACTCAAAGCCGGTGACATGATCTTTTGAACTCATGAGGCTCTTTTCCTGCTTTGCTGCAATGGAGATTAAGCACATTTGCTTGGCACCATATTTGGCCTCATGCTTTACTATGTTGCAAACTGTGCTTGTTTTTTTTTCCTCTGAATTTTCTTCAGGGGGCCTTTATTTTACTTGAAATGTAATACCCAAACTTGATAATCCATTTTCATCTCATACCTAGTGAATATTGGCTATGCCAGTACGCTGTTGGAAACACTGCTTCAAGTCTCCTGTGTATGGTACTTAAATATCTCAGTATAATGATTTATTTTATAATAGCATTTCCGCAGTGAGGAAGAGAAGGTGTTTTTATGTCAATTGTGTTACTGTACATGAAAGAGTAATAGGCCCCTTAAATACACACTATAATAAACCATACCAATAAAAGAAATGCATAATAATAATAAAATGAATATAAGCATTCAGGTCTAAGGAAAGCAATTCAGGAAATTAATCACCAACAAGGAAAGCTATCTCCTGCTCTCTTAGGACATAGTGCTCTTAATCAAGTTTAGTAGTGAGTTTGTATATAGAATACTTACATTCAGAGTTTCATACATCCTGGTTGTTTTTCTTGAACTGCATTTATTTCTAGAGTAACAAGTGCAACAACAATTTTATGGGCTCAGCTGTCAAATTTGAAAATGTCTCCTAAGATAATTCTAGTTTTAAGATCTTGTAAGATCCTTTTGTCCGAGGAAACTCCAAAATGACTAGAGGTTATAACCAGAGGCAGTGCTGTATCACAGCAAGCCTGTATGAAATGTGAATAGCATGAAGATATTGACACATTTGGCAAGGTGTGAAGGAAGTAGTCTATGTAGTATCAGTTGCCCCACTGGCATGAAGTGAATCTCAGGCTTGCTTTCAGCACGTGTTGGGTTGGTTCAGGTGTACTCCTGAGGTCCCTTCCAGCCTGAGCGATTCTGCAATTCATTTAGTGCTGCAGATGCTAAAGATCAGAGATATGTGTTATAAATGGTTTTTGTGGCACATAGCATATCCTGCATTCCCATTCTGGTTACTGAAAGTCTGTGCAACAGAAAATAGTGTAAAATTTTCTGTTTGTTTGTTTCTTCCAGAAAATGCATATTTTTAAAAAACATCAAAAGATATTCAGCAAAATTTTGGAAATACAAAACCTTTTTCCTTTTTCTGCAGATCTTTTTCTTTGGATATCTGATCTCACAAATCATGAAGTGCTCATGCTATTCAGTATAGGAGGAAGATAATAACAAAGCTTACTCTCAGTGTTACTTTTCTAGTATCATTTAACTGATAATTAATAGTAAGTGAGATAACATGTCCAAAGTTAACCCACAGGTGACCTTGAGGAAATATTTCTGATTTAAGATTTGAGTGCTTTAATGCAAAAGAAAACAATCTGGTAATATTATTTAAGGGAAAATAAGAAGCGTTCTAAAAATATGTGCATTCTTTCTTCATATATATATATATATATATATATATGAATGTACAGATATCAATACCAAAATACAGATGTATTTACATTTAAAAGAATATATGGAAAAATATTTATGTTGAATGTAATGAGAGGAAATGTCGAGCATGAGGGAGAGATGAGACTTACAGGTTTACCTCAAACTAAATTTAGGACTGAACATTGTATATTCATGGTGTGGAAAAATCACCAATGGTCTTTCATTACACAAGGTGCTAATAACAGTGGAAGTTGTAGGCTGGCTTCAAAAGTGGCTTCAAAAGCAGTAAGATTAGTTGCTGCTTTAAAGCAAATATACTGAATTTTAAAAAAGAAAAAATTATATCCTGCAGTACCATTTGAAAGTACATAGTTTACCTATAGTGATTTCTTATCATGGATTTTTACTACTTTGGGTCCTTGAGTAAAATTCTTGAATTTATGTGAGTAAAATTGTCCTTAATGAGTAAAGAATTGATTTCCTAAAATGACTGACAATTTGCAATACTTTTTGTGACACTTAATGCCACCTATATGACAACACTAAAATCATGCTTCCAACTTTACTTTTTTTGGATAGAGTACTATTTTTTAGTTCCAAAGCTAGAAGCATAATAGAATAAAGGAGTTGCTTCTTTTTTAGATCTCTATAACCTTTGGGCTATCCTAAGGAGATTAATTAGTCAACTATCTTCGTACTATATAATTTTTTCAAATATAGAAGTGATTTTGTTGACCTAAGCATCAGCTGACAGCATTTGCACTTCAGTTTTTTATATAGGATGAACATTTCAATTGGATTTCATTTCGTTATTCCACACAAGCACTTCTATAGCAACAGTGTTAATAAATAACTGTGCTTACAGTTTTGACCTCTCAGCTGTGATCACTGTGTTTATAAATTTCAAATTAAGCTATCCTGGCTCACTCTTCAATAAGACTTTCCTAAAGAAGTTCACCGAAACAGAAACTCAATTCAAGAACATAATTTTACATTTCTGAAATACAAGATAAAGTGGTCATTCAGTGCTGGGAGACTAATGTCCAGTGTATTACAAATCACTGTAAAGAATGTCCTGAATTTTTCCTGAACACATCCTCCTCAACAGTATTAAGAGCAAGTTTTGCTAATACCAATGACCATCACTGGGTTTAGGCCTTTTAATTTTTTTTCTGTGGCTTCTGTCTTCCATTCTAACAAAGGGTTTTTCATACCACCTAAGCTTTTGCTAAAGTAAGTTCCAGAGAGACAAAAGTCCTGTGCCAGACAGAATGAGAACAAGTAAATGCAAACAGTTATAAATTTAAAAGTAGAATGATATAATTAGCTACAGAATAATTTTAATCCCATAGGTAATTATTTCACTTCCAAAGCCAGGATTTTTTTTTGCTACCCATATATCAAATCATCCAGTTGACTCAGGATATTAGCAACATTACTAATAATCTCCCAGATTATGAAGAGAAATATTGGTGTTCAAATTTCTCAGTAATATTTTATAGGCCTGATTCAGGCTTTCTCTAGTATTGGGATTTTATTTTTCTTTTTTTTTTTAATGTAATTTAATGCAGTATTGTTTTTCCTCTGTTTTCCTTTTGAAACTGGCTTAAAATCGAATACATTGTACTCTCTCGTACAACAGTTGATGATTTGCTAATAGCTTATAGGTTTGTAGTATTTTTATATATGTGTTATAATTAGTATTAACAGTTTATTTGTGGTAAAGGCTGCTGTAGGTTTACAGTCAAATAAATGTAGAGTCCTATTAAGTCCTGTTACTGAATATCCTGAACTTGGAAAGGAATGATACTGGTCAGAATTATTATTTTACGGTGAATTCACAAGATCCGTTAAAAATACTTCAGAGAATCTTTAGATGCTAAATGTGGTAAAGTGTACAAGCTGTCATGTGTTTACATCTTTCTCTGTGTTATTCCCATTTTTGATTATTAAAGAATCTTAATGAGTTTGTGGAATGTAAAGGGTGGAGATTGTAAAAATGAATAGACTTTGAAAACTCACCTCATCATACATACAAGTGACATACCGCATATAATATTGGAAATTTTAGTTTGTTAAATAACAAACAATAAGATTACTGGTTTGTGTTGCAGAATTATGAAGTTAACAATCACATGTTGCCTCTTGATGCAACTTTCCATTTTTGTGAGACCTGGTGCAATAACCTGACTACTGCTGTGAGCTCTGCTCATATCTCATGTAATATGTGGAGTCAGACAAGCAGCAATGATGAAACAGAACTGTGGGTTCAGCTCATGAGGTGTCATGAAAATGGATAAATAAAATTAAATAAAACCCAGTGGAATAGGGTTAGTTTGCATTGTGCCACTTTCAAAAAAGATTCTCCCTTGAGAGCCAAAATTCATTAAAATCTTAATTTGAATGCATTTTCCCACCTTCTGTGATAAAAGTTGGCTTGTAACTCACATTTAGTCCATTTCCGACTGAGGATGCTGTATACCCTGGCAGGATTGGAACGAACTCTGGCCATTCAGCCACTGAAACATTCTTGGCTTGAAACCATGTGCTCTGCAAACACAGACCGTGTCCAAATATCACATCCTGGCTGCCTGTATTCAGGACCATCTGAAGGACGTGGTGTCAGTTTGATGAGAACTTTTAACAGTTTCACTTACATGCCAAACAGAGATGGTTTAGTATGAAATTGTACCTCCACCCCAGGTATTTTTTTTTGCATTGACTGCAGTCATCCCGAAGGATGGTACAGCCGGGGTAACCCAGCCTAGTCTGAACAAGTTGGTGGGCGTGATGTGAGATTGCAATCAAGCTGCACAGCATAGTTGTATTAACAGCTGATGTTCTTCATCCCTACA